GCTTAACTGGTGCTTGAGATGCATTCACATTTTCTCCTGACCTGGCGTTGACGGTCAGTAATATTGGGCAGGATAACCAATGGCCTGTCTCTGAGGGAGGGAGGTGCTTACATTTGGATAGCAAGCAATCCACCTTAAAAGGTATTTTGCTCACAATGCTGACCAAGGATACATTGGCAAGATTATTATTATTATTATTTATTAAATTTATATACCGCCCTATCTCCCGTACGGGACTCAGGGCGGTGAACAGGCGATACTAAAAACCACGATAAATATACACAAGTTTCTGTTCTAAAATCAAATTAAATAACAGGCCTGCTCTAAAAATACCCCATACAAAACCCCCACTAAAACATAATCAAACTACGCCAGACCGGCCGCACGGAATAGATGGGCCTTCAGGGCTCGGCGAAAAAGGCGCAGGTCCGCAACTGTACGTAGGTCGGGGGGTAGGTCATTCCAGAGGGCAGGAGCTGCCACAGAGAAGGCTCTCCCCCTGGGGGTCGCCAGCCGGCATTGTCTGGCCGACGGCACTCTAAGGAGGCCCTCTCTGTGGGAGCGGACTGATCGAAGGGAGGTGTTTGGTAGGAGGCGGTCTTGCAAAAGATGGTAGGTTTTGGGGATGAGTAGGGTGGGCAGTGATTTATGGAACTGAATGGGATAGCCTAAGTCAGTGATGGTAAACCTTTTAGAGACCAAGTGCCCAAAAACTGGCCCCGCCCCCATTCTACCCCCTGCCCCGCCCCCACCCCACCTGCCCGCAGGGCCACTCACCACCTCCAGGGCCCACTGCAGATCACCCAGGCAGCCCAGCAGTGCCATGGCGGCCATGCCCTATGCCCAACTGTGCGCGATGGGTGTGAGCGCAGAGTCTTGTCTACGCTGCCTGGCTGCCATGTCCTTGGCTGCGCTGCTTCGCATGGACCACGCTCGGGGGCGACTCTCCTCCAGGGGGGCTGCTGGTGAGGAGGGGGTCGTGGGGGAGGTGAGGCTGGGGCAACGGCACGTGTGCCCACAGAGAGGGCTCCGAGTGCCACCTCTGGCACGCGTGCCATAGGTTCGCCACCACTGGCCTAGGTTTTGTCAACCAACCTGCATTGGCTGTGTTCTTATGACATTCCACTTGTTGGGGCAATGTCCTAGAAACGCTCTACTATTTATGCTCAACTGGTTTTTTAACATTGTAAAAGGATACTGAGATCCAGGCTTGTAAAACCCACGTATCTTTGCAGCCACCCCAGAAAAGACAGAGGACTGTAGAAGACTTCAATCAATTCTGCACCTTTGTGCTGGCCTACGCAGGCTACATTCCCTACCCAAAGGAGGTAAGAAATGTTGGTCATGGAATCCATTTTCTTGTCCTGGGTGCTGGGCATTCCCTTTCTTTCCCCTCTGCAATAAGGCTGATCACACATCTTTCTCTCTTTTTTTTCCCATCCCCAGAATGAGCCATGGACATACCGAGGCAACAGGAGCCCCCAGAACAGCACTGGAAGCACCCAAGACAGTGACAGTTGGGGATCGTCCCAGTCCTGTGACTCTCAAGTGCTTTCAGATGACGGAGGAAGCAGGAACACGGCCTACAAGGGGACAGGAGAGGCGCTGAACTGCCCTAACATAACCGGTAGCTTTTGCACTGGTCGGCACCAGCAAACCAAGAAGAGAAAGCAGTCATCAAAGAAACTGGGTGTGAACCAAGGGATGGACAAGGGCTTGATGCCCCTGAAGGACTATGCGCAGAGAACGCTCGAGACTTGCGAGGAAGTGAAGGAGCTGGAATCCTGTCTCCAAGAGCTGCCATCCAGACCTCTCCTGGAGCAAACGGAGAAAGACTGTATCCCTGGACTTTACGCTGAAGAGAAGACCGAGGAACAAGGGACAACGTGCAAAGAGGAGAGAACCAACTCTGCCTCTTGGGACGTGGTGGAGCAAAGCGCGGAAGAACCTGCCGGAGAAGCCCCTCAACTTAACAGTAAGTCTGCAAGCACTGGTGTTTTCAGAAGACATTCAACAAGGGCGACCACCTTAACCAGATGCAGCGGCTAACCTCGATCCATCTAGCACGCAGGTCTTTTAACAGAGCAGTTCCCTAAAACAAGTGTTTTCCAACCTCAGCAACTTTTAGATAGGTGGACTTCCAACTCCCAGAATTCCCCAGTTAGCGATGCTGGCTGGGGAATTCTGGGAGTTGAAATCTACCAATTTAAAAGCTGGGTTAAGAATCACTGCCCTAGACTAGAGAACGGGTGGAAATGACTTGGCGAATTATCCTATTTGAGGAGTGCCAACTGATATTATTTCCCCATTGTTAGTAGATTTTGTGCGTGCAGAGATTAGGCAACCTTTACAGTGTTAACATCAGGATCCAATAAGCTGCAAGAATTTTTCACGAATCTCTTGATTTAGAAAGGTTGGCTCCTTAACCTCATCAATTAAAGGTATTGTGGCTGCTTTAATCAGTTTTACATGGCCTACTCTTTAGGTTGAAGGATGCTGTGCAAATCCAGGCAGTGAGCAACATACTGTGGTCACTCACTTTTCTGACATTTTTCTCTCTTCCCTCTTGCAGATCTGCCTAAGGAGTTTACTGCAGCCTCAGACACTAAAACAGATNGAAGGTAAACACCATTCTGTGCACTTTTGGCCACATAACCAAGGAAAATATCTTTGGACAACTCTCTAGGCCAAGAAACAAAGATGAGCACCATGCCCTAGGGTCAGACATGACTGACAGAGAAACCTTTAGCTTTTAGAGTTTCTTATGGACATGGGGCAAGGACTAGACCAGGGGTAGGCAACCTTGGCTCTTTTATGACTCGTGGACTTCAACTCCCAGAATTCCTGAGCCAGCATGGCTCGGCTTGGAAACCTCTCCCTTTCCCCTCAGCATGGCTGACTCAGGAATTCTGGGAGTTGAAGTCCACCAGTCATAAAAGAGCCAAGGTTGCCTACCCCTGGCCTAGATGATAGGAAACTTGGCTCTTTTATGACTCGTGGACTTCAACTCCCAGAATTCCTGAGCCAGCATGGCTCACCTTGGAAACCTTTCCCTTTCACCTCAGCATGGCTGTCTGAGGAATTCTGGGAGTTGAAGTCCACGAGTCATAAAAGAGCCAAGGTTGCCCACCCCTGCTCTAGACTGTACCTGTCCTGCCTCTCCTTCTCAACTTTGGGGGCTGGGCCCATGGGCCAGCTTGCCAGGGCATTTCATCAGTATTACGTATTAAATTTATATGCTGCCCGTCTCGCTATCAAATGACACATTGGGTGAATTTAAGCCCAGGCTTTTGCCAACTCCCCCCCCCCAACTGTCCTGGCATGCTTCAAATTGGGTAGGGAGGATATTATGAGTTCAGCAAAATCTCCCTTGTTTTGGCTGGAATCTGATCTCCCGGCTTTCCTTTGTCTGCAGGGCAAGCCTGCTTGTTTGCTTTGACTGCATGCCTGCAGGGAAATGTCTCCACACTTCCACACCATTATCATTGTTATTATCATCTTCCCCACTAAATAGCAGGAGAGTTCCTTTCCCTGGAGATCCCGGCTCTGAGATTTACTGCTGGAATTCACTCTCTTTCTCTTTGGGTTTGGAAGCCAGAAAAACCACACGGCCAAACCGTGCTGTCTGTTGTGATAAGAGATTGGGTGGCCTACGTATTTTCTCCTTGTTTATAATAACTTGGGAAGCTGAATGTCCCAAATGTTTAAACAAAAAACAAAATAAAAACAAATTTCCCTCCTTCTGTTAAGAGAAGCTGGGATCCTCGGGGAAGTGATAGTATTCACTGAGGCAAGAAGCATGTTTTGGCTATAAAATACCTTGTGGCTGTATCCCCACATCATCTCTTAACCCGGGTCTTTGAAAAACCCGATTTTTCCGTGTTTGTTTCCCTGTTTCCCTGCTGGCTGGAGAATTCTGGGCGTTGTAGTCCACCCATCTTAAAGTTGCCATGGTTGAGAAACACTGAAAACTGAAGAATATAGGTTGGATTTAAACAACGTTGTGACGTGACAATACTTGGTGTTCAGTGTACAGTTGTGGTCAGCCCACCCCTTAAGGACATCCTTACAGGGCTAGAAGGCCACTCCAAATAATTAGGAGGCTGCCCTGGCTGCCTTACAAGAAAAGAGTGCAATAATGGAGACCCTTTAACTTGGAATGAAAGATAATAAAGGAAGACAAGATAGAGATGGAAGTGTGTAAAACCACACAAACCTTAAATATTGGGCAAAAAGGATGCGTAGTGTCAGAACTCAAGGTCATTGCATGAATCTAAACATGAGATTCAGAATTGAGAAGGAAGCATTTTCCACCTGATGTATAATTAAATATTGTCGCAAGCCATCCTGAGTTGCTTTTTGTGAGATGGGTAGCCACGCATGTTTGACTGATTGACAAATAATGGAATTATCAGCAATTTGGATGGTTTGAGGAGGAACTAAAGGGGACGTGGCTATCCAAATTGAGGGCTGTGGACACCATCCTGCGTTTGTGGCTGAAGGCTTGAAATATGTGCAGCTGGGAAGCCACAGTGGAGGGAACTGGGGAATCCAGGCTGGGTGAGCTTTCTGAAGGCATTCAGATGTCCCCTGGGTGATCCAGAAGGCCAGCCTACATCGGGGCTCCTCTTGTGTTGGTGCCACACCAGAATCTCCCACACAGACCAAGCTTAACTGGTGCTTGAGATGCATTCACATTTTCTCCTGACCTGGCGTTGACGGTCAGTAATATTGGGCAGGATAACCAATGGCCTGTCTCTGAGGGAGGGAGGTGCTTACATTTGGATAGCAAGCAATCCACCTTAAAAGGTATTTTGCTCACAATGCTGACCAAGGATACATTGGCAAGATTATTATTATTATTATT